CCCCAATGCCTCTCTTTCGTGCATATCCACCTGCCTGGGGGAGGGGGTGTTGCGCGGCATTTTCCCCGACCCGGGCGCATCTCTCATCTGAGGCCGGCTGTCCACTCGTTGGCGAGGCGCCCGCGCAAATCATTCCCCCCCCGGCTCCCCGTCCTTGCAGACGGGCGGATCAAGGGAACCGGGGGCGGGGGGAGGCCCAGACCGCGATGGTTGAGGGGTGGCCTCATGGCCCATTCCAGGGGATTTCCCCGACCGCGGCCACACGCACACACATGCATCTGCGCAAAGGCGCGCCCGGGTCCCCGTGCGGATGGTTATGGTACATGTATGATGTGCGTGTGTGCATGTGTGCGTGTGTGCGTGCGTGTGTGCGTGTGTGCGTGTGTGTAAATGCGCACGTGTCGGGGGCCCTACACCGGGCGGCCGACAGTTCCCCTTGTCGGTGCACTCCCTGCGGCCCCTTTGGCTTTTGACGCTCAGCCACGGACCCATGGTGCGCTCACTCGCATCTGGGGGCATTCCCCCGGCCCACTGTTGGATGCCCTCGTCTGACAACTCGGGGCATTTCGTCGGAAGGCCTTGTCTCGGCCCTGGTTCGGGACCCCGGCCCCCGTTCCTTGGGGCCGGGGCGCGAGGCCGGGGCGCGGGGCGCAGGGCACGGGGGGCACCCACCGTCTTGCCTTGGCGTGCCGCGAGCCCGCGCCCGATTGCAGCGCACGGGGCGCGGGGTGGCGGCGGGCCGGCTGGCGCCCCATGCATCGGATGCGCCTTCTGGCCGGGTCGGGCCGGCCGACCGCAAGAACGGCCCGCCGGACATCGCAAAGGCGGTGCTTGGGATGTGTATCCGGGACGGCCAGGAGTTCTCGGCGTCGGGCCGGCACCCCTTCCTCGGGGGTAGGGCGCGGGGGGATGTCGGGCGCCCCCCCCCCCCCGCCCCCGGACATGGCCGGATGTGCGCGCGGTTTGTGCCCCCGGCCTCTAAGGCACGCCACCGGCAGGGGATGGGCGATGTGCAGACGGATGCGTGCGCGCGCACTCTCACACACGCGTGTGCGGGCCAGGGGCGAGAGAAAGCGGCCGAGAGAGAGGGCCAGGAGTTGCACATGCCCTGGGGCCCCGTACTCGGGCCACCATGGGTTGTGCTTCTCCCGGCCCCGCCGGCGATGTGGCCTCAGCCATGTTCCCGCAACGCCTCTCGGATGAGTGGCGCGCGCGCCTCCACCCGCGAGCCCCTTGACATTCCGACTTCTCTCTCTCTCTCTCTCTCTCTCTCGTACGCGCCATGTGCGCGGGTGGGCCTTCATGCCCTGGACGTCCCCCTCCCCCTGCCTCGCCCCCTGCCTGCCGCGCCCAGCTCGCGAGTCGGTCAGCGTCCACGCCCCCCCCCCGGCGCCCCTGTTACCCACTTTCGCGCAAGGGGCTTTCTCCCGGGGGGGGGGGGGGGGGGGGGGGGCTGACCGGCGGGCACCGGGATGGGCGGCCGTCCTGCCCCACGTCTTTCCGGGGGACCGACGGCTCGGGAAAAGAAGG